TTAATTGATGTTAGAGAGCAGCGGGGGGAGGGGAGGGAGAAAAACATCGATCCGCTGCCTCCTGTACGGGCCCGACTGGGGATCAAGCCCACACAACTGGGGCATGTGCCCTGACTGGGAATCAAACCAGCGACCTTCCAGTGCACAGGACGATGCTCAACCAACTGAGCCACACGGGCCAGGGCAGCGAGGCCATACTTCATAGAGAGGTGAGCCCCTGTGAGCCCCCAGATCACTGAGCCAGAGGTGGGGCTTTGAGCTGCCGGGCCCTGCACTGGGACACGCTCAGGACGGTGCCCATGCCCCTCAGCAGGGCAAACACTTCTCAGCTCATAAACAGTCATTAAAGAGCTAATAAACCCAGAGCTAATAAGCCGGATTTCCCAGAACTCTGCCCTGGGGCTTGCTCGTTCCCTGGGCTGCTGGGGCATTCCGGCACTTGACACAGGCCCATCCAGGCCACTCACACCAGGGGGACTTCAAAACCTACCTACTCATCACTCCCCCCACCTTCCTTTGGGGCAGCATGGGTTGAGGAATGAGGGCTGGGGAGGCGGGGAGCTGGAGACAGGGCTCAAACCCCGCCTTGACCGCCTACTGTGCTGGGAAACTTTGGGCAAGTTACCACATCGGAGCCTCAGTTTTCTCTGCTGTGAAATGGGATGATGCGCCCGCCCCAGGAATGCAGTAGAGATGACATGAGATCATGAATGTACCGCGCCCGGTACCCTGTGGACGGCCAGTAGTTGGAATTCTGGCTGACCTCTGCCACCATCCTCACTTGGTCTCTATAGCTGAGCCAAGAGCCCCGAGCAGCCCTGATCCCGTTATCTGGACGGCTCCCTCGCCAGGTCCCAGTGTAGCTGGGAAACTGACAGGTGGGGAAACTGAGGCTCAGAGAGGTTAAGTCACCTGTCCAAGGTCCCACAGTTAGGAGGTGGTGGGGCTGTGATGCCCCCACATTCTGCAGCCTCCTGTCACCCAAGAACCGGTGAGACAACGTGGCAAAACAACAGGCGTGGTGGTGAGGTGAGTGAGCAGCCGCTCCCACCCCCTCAAGCAGAAATGACATCACCCACGCCTTCTCCTCTATGAAAGGGCTCTCACAGCCTCTCACCTGTCCTATCTCATTATCTTCCTCGGCTGATAAGGTCTGACCCTAGTTCCTAGTCCTGCTCCAGCAGATCCCCACCTGCGCTTCCAGGCCTTCGAGGGCCAGGGGAGAGGCATGATGGGGGGGGGGGACACCCCGCCAGGGAAAAGAGGCTTCTTGCCGGGGCCTGGGGGCAGGACCACCTAAGGATGCTCCACGCATGGGCTCCAGGGACACAGGTGGGAAGCAGAGAAAACCAAGGTTGTGGGCAGCTTGCCCTGCGCTGGGCCTGGGAGCAGAGCTGAGCTGAGCGTCTCTCCCTCCATGACATTCTCCCCCCCACATCCCCCCCTCCCCCACCAACACCATCATGACACACAGGCTGGCAGGCGGGGAAGCCCCGGGCTGGGTGGCAGTTCACGCCTGGCCTAGATTGAAACCCATCCTCAGTGCCCGTGGTCTACATGGCACCCCCGCCCTCCCACCCAGACTGGCCACTTGTACAGAACAGCACCAGCACTGCCACTCTGGCCCCTGTTCCCAGCCAATCCCCCCACAGCCCGCGAGGCACGGGCTCCGTCACCACCCGTCTGTGCCGAGGGCACAGCCCGGCTCCGAAGAGCAGCCCTGGTCCCGTTATCTCGACGGCTCCCTCGCCAGGTCCGTGTGGCTGGGCACCGGCCCAAGGCTTTCTGCGAACCACCGCTGGAATCCTCACTGCCACCCTCCCACGGACTACTGCTACCCACTGTACAGCTGGGGAAACTGAGGCAGCTATTGAAGTGACCCCACCCTGCTGACCACACTCTCCTAGACCCCTGCCCATCGCTTCCCACCACCCTCCAGGCCAGCGTCTCTGATCTGCCCACCCAGCTCCAACCACTTTGGGGGGTGGGGGTGGCTAGAACATCCTTCCTGCCAGCAGCTGTGGAATTGCAAATGACTGGCCCCTGGGGGACCCCAGAGGGGATGGGGATGGCAGCTCTCTGTACTTACATCCCTGAGAGGACAAGAAAAGGTGAGTTTTTCTTTACGCCCGTCTGTCTAACTCACACTGGGCAGCGACAGTCACTTCATGGCAGTCTGGGGAAGCCCTCGTTCCCTGAAGAGGGGCAGGCAGGGCTCCTCCTCCTGGCCTGTGTCCTGCGAGCTGCCTCCCTGGCAGCCTCGCCGCCCGGTCACCAGGCCAGGTCAGCCTGCACTCTGGGAGGGCGCTGACGTCCCGCCACCCCGCCCCCAGCCTGGCTCAGCAGGACGGGAAACTGGGAGCAGACGCGCGCGTGAGCTCACACTGGAAATCCCCAAGGGTGGCCAGGACAACACGGAGGCCTGCTCCAAAGTGGGTGGCCCAGGGACCCACGGGGCTGTGCAGGAAGGAGAGGCAGCCGGGAGAGGACATCCCCCCTGATATTTTGGGGTGAGGCGGCCTCCTGTCCCCACTGCTCACCCCGACCCAGAGGGAAGCGCCGGGTCACTTGAAGTGAGCAGGTCCATGCACGCTCAGACACACCCGGCTTCTTCCTGCTCCGTCTGGAGTCTAGTCTGGGCTGAGTTTACAAGCAGGTGGACAGGAGCCCTGCGGAGCGGCCACGGCTGACCCAGAGCCAGACTTGGACCCTGGGGCCTCTGCAAGGGATTTGGGGGTGATCTGTCCCTCCTCTTAGAGCAGTGGTTCTCAACCTTCTGGCCCTTTAAATACAGTTCTTCATGTTGTGACCCAACCATAAAATTATTTTTATTGCTACTTCATCACTGTAATGTTGCTACTGTTATGAATCGTCATGTACATATCTGATATGCAGGATGGCCTTAGGCGACCCCTGTGAAAGGGTCATTCGGCCGCCAAAGGGGTCGCGACCCACAGGTTGAGAACCGCTGTCTTAGAGGCAGAGAGTCCAGTCCCACCCTGGGCAGAGTGTGTAAAACGCCACAGAGCTGCAGCTCAGAAATGAGTCACCGGGTGGTCTGTTTACAGGCCTGCGGCACAGGAGTTAGGACCCGGCCTGGGAAAGGGCGGCGGGTTCAAGCGGCGGGTTCAAGGTTGCGCTCCACCGCTTGCTTCCCGAACAGCTTGGTGCAGGTCTGAGTGCTGCCTGAGCCTCGAGAGGCACAGGACAGATGGGGCCACTACTGCGGTGTCTTCGTTTTACTAAAAAGACGGGAGTCTCACTCCAGCCTTTTAAAGTTAAAAGACCATAAATAAATAAATAAAGTTAACAGACCAAAAACAACCACCACCACCACCACAATAAAATAAAACTCCACCAAAAACGCAGAAGTCAAACCAGAAACTGCCACCTGCCCTCTCACCCTACAGGGTTCCAGGGTCCAGGAGTGAACGAGACAAGAGGCCATGGATACTGCCAGGAAGTGGGAGGAGGGCAGCGAGGGCAGTGGGGTGGCGTGGCCTGGCACCTGGGCATGGGCGGCTGCTTCGTCCCATCCTGCCCTGGGAATGCCACCTGCCCCGACCCCTGGAGCACATTCCTGGAGCCCAACTCAAACGATTCAGTCATCCCTGCCAGGCAGCCCCCTGCCTGTGGCTGATGGCCGCCATCTCTCACTGTGGCTCCGCTGACACCACGAGTGGGGAGGGGCTTGCTCTCCCGGCCCGGCCTCTGGTCTAACCACAGTGGAACCTTTTACTGCTGGAGGGAAGCAGACTCGGGAGCCACGAGGAATCAGGAGCCTTGATATACCCCTTGGGTGTTACTTTCCCGGCGTAAATACTGGGAGAGTTAGGTGTGAGTTCAGAAGGGAAAATGCCAGCAGGTCAATGGCATCAGGCGTCCATGCCCGCGTCAGCAACTCAGCTTCGGGAAAATCTGCAAACAGAGCTCATACCCGGGGCATGGGAGCTCCCGTGTGGGGGAGGCTGCCCTAGGGGGACGTCCTTCAGGCCCGCTCCCTGCCCCTGGTCTCAGCTCCTCCCAACAACGCCCAGACCTACTTCCTGCAGGGCCCATGGCTTGAGCAGGAAGAGGCAGGCTTCTGGCACCAAAGGCAGCCTCCTGCGAGGGGAATAACTGCCCTCCTTACCTCGCATCTCATTTAGGTTTATTCCAAGTTCTTCCCCAAACCTCCCGGGAAACTGAGGCAGGGAGGGGAAGACAATGAGAAGTACAGGCATACCTCGAAGTACTGCAGGCTGGGTCCCAGTGCACTGCACTGAAGCCAGCTGTGATCTTTTTGCTGGTGGAGGGTCTTGGCTTCAATTTGTAAAAAAAAAACACACCTCTGCGGGGGCGAAATAAAACGAGGCATGCCTGTTACTGGATGGACCAGGTGCTTCGGGAGGATTTCTCAACCCGCGCACAGCACTAGGCCGTTTTGAGTCACATGATTCTTTGTCGCGGGGCCTGTGGGATGTCCAGCTGCATCCCTGGCCTCTATCCACTAGATGTCAAAGAGCAACAACACTCACCCGCTTCCCCTGAGCTGTGACGACCAAAACGTTTTTGAGAAATTGCCCAATATCCCCTGGCTGGTAAAATGGCTGAGAGCCGCAAGCTTCACTTTCCACTTCTCCCCCTGTCCTACCTAGAGAGTGAGTGACAGAAACATAACACAGACGCTGGGCTCACTCTTTTACCAGCAAATGTCACACACGGGGGTCACCTGGGAAACAGCAGCCAGTGCAGGGCGGGGTCAGTCCCGCAAGCCTCACCCTTCCGACACTCCAACCCCACGCCTGCTCCGTAGTCGTTCACGCAGGTTAGGCAGGGGCCGAGGCCTGGACGCCCCTCCGCCCTGGGGTGGGCACATTTGCCCCCGAGGGGGCTTATCCCTCTCTAATCTAACCCTAAAAGAGGGCACCAACCTTTGCAAGGCCCTCAGTCCAGAAGTCAAGACCCCGGTGCCCATTTTCTGAGCTCCGGTCCAGCCTGGCAGAGCGCGCCCACCCACCCACACCTGCTTCCACCTCGGCGCGGGCAGCTCGCCCCAGAGGGAGGGGCGGGGAGGATCTGGGTCGAAGGCGCGAGTGCGCGGTGCTGCCCCAGGGCGGTCCCTTCTCTCCACCAGGGGCTTTAAACTTCTGCCCCCGCGTCAGGGGACCCTTGGCCCGGGGATCCCTTAGGCGTCGAGTCCAAGCTGAGCCCCAGGGGCTCGCAGACCTGGTCCCGCAGCCCCGTCCGAGTCCA